CATGAAGCAGATGAAAAGGAGCAGAATGACTGTCTTTTGCTAAATTTTGAAATATTTTTTTTCTGATTCTGGCGTAAAACCGATAATGAAAGCGATACTTTTCAATTTCAACATTGATTACCACTCTAGCCGAGAGGGGAAGTTGAAGATGACACAACGAGCTACGAAAGGACGCATAGTAGGTGTTAATAAGTTAGCAAAAGTGATCGTATTCAAACAGTGTACGCGAGGAAAAGAAATGAGTTGGTCATGTGGCAAGAAGGCGAGATAGCAGATGAACAGAGTAGGTTATTAGATCGTACTCACCCGAATAACGCAAAAAGTGAAACCAGTGTGGCGATAAGACTTGTTCGAACGGCTGTGTGGAAATGTATGGTCGAAAAAGCCCAAAATAGAGAAGGATGGCGAGGACACCAGCTGCATGAGTGACGAGAAGCTCAACAGTATAACAACTGCTGATCAAAGTATTAAAAGCTTTTGGGAATTAATTAGATGAGATATAAATGTAAAAAGCTGAACAGAGTCGCCGTGAAATGGCGCCGCGCATTAGCGTGAGGATTTTCAAGAGTAAATGCTGTGCATAAAAATAGACACGATGGAGAAGTTGGGAAAAAAGAAGGAAGAAATGGCAGAAGGATTACTTACGAAAATGTGGAAAATACTTGTGCAAAATCTGGCAGTGCTAATGTATCAACTGTGCGTGTGAATCGAAATGAACGTGTATAAACCATCGAAATACACATAAGTACACATAAAAATAAACCAGCAGTGCTCGTGTCTCGATAATTGCTGCATCATTTGAAGCCACATAGAAATAATGACAGCAATTTTATAAAAGGATTGTTAATTAACAGATATCATGAGCTGGAAAGCAATAAATTAATCTGGTGACTACAGAAACAAGAGCGCTCCAAAATACCGCAGAGCAGATCCCAGAATTTTGGGCCAGCGAGATCCTACGCTTTGGAAAATAAGAAAGTTGAAAAAGTTACCAGTGAAACGAGTAATTTTGAAATTTAGCCTGTGGAATCGATAATGATGTTCGTTGTGAGGTACAGGCCGGATGAGCAAGCCTCGTTACGGCCACATCACGATGCTTCCACCTACAGCATTGATGTTGCACTGAACAAGCGTGGTGTGGATTACGAAGGCGGCGGCGTACGTTTCTTACGGTACAATTGCACTTTCGATGCCGACACTGTCGGTAAGTTCACTTGCGGTGAAGTTTTTTGGTCTGTATTTTAAAGGCTATATTGGTTCCGCACACAAATACACAACACACACACACACACGTACTTGCTTAGACACATGGCTATTTTTATGTGTTTTTGCTGTGCAGCGCTATAGTGGTCCAAAACGCATATTGTCGAGAGGCTGTCCGTTCGGGTGTATGTGTTCGAGTGAACTTTGTCACCTACTTTCAACTTAGCAACCAGGAAACTGGGAGGCTGAAATTTTAAGTTTATATTCCCACCCCATGTATCACTCTTCCATTTTTGAAATCTTCGCTTGTATTCTGGATCTCGCACACGGTCCCTCGAAAAAAAATGCAGATTTCTTTTGCGGGGAACGATTTCGCAAAGCAAATAAGGATATTCTCTGTGTATGCATGAGTCAGGTATTTCAAATTCATCTGATGCGCATGCTTATACCGCGTGTACGGTCACATCAAAGTTTGCATTTGGCATCTGTTGCACATGCTTATGCCACGTGTACGGTCACATCAGAGTTTGTGCCAACTTGAAAACTAGCTGGAAAACAGCAGCTGAAATTTTGTTAGAATATTTATTGTTCTCACGGAAAATCGTATACCTGAACTGAGTTTAGATTTGCATTTGCGCCGCGATTTAAGGCACTTCAAAGATATTTGTAGCGAAATGGCTATTTCGCTTACCAGAAAAGCTAAGAAGCTGAAACTTTGCAAAAATATTCTGCATGTGCAATCTTAATTCAACTTCCAGGTGAGATCCCCTGCTCGCAGACATGACAAATACTCAATTTTATCACGAATTTAAAGCGAGTGAATTTTGCAGATTTCATAATCCCTTCCCGGTTTCGTTCGAATTTGCATGTTTTGAATGCATGAACACCCGCCGAAAAAACGACCGAGCTTCATGCAAGAAACTGATGATCATATTCGCTGTAAGACCATGCGATCTCATAATGCAATACCTTCGTCCCAGCCGACGCTTTTTATGCGTTTTTTGCAGCAATGCAATGCAAAAACGCATATTGTCGAAGGGTTTTCTGTGCGTGTACGTATGTGTGTGTGTGTGTGTGTCTGTGTGTGCTTCTGTAACGAGTTTCCATCTTGAGGTCCATAAAAGCTGCAAGGCTGAAATTTTGGTATCTTTATCTGCACATACGTGCGGACTCCTATCCCCAAAATAGACGCTCGTTCCACGTGGTTCTCACGTACGGGCACGTGGAAGTTTTTTTGGCGGGAAAGCGTTTTTGGGAACGGACCATGCTAGGAGGCTGGAGTTTCACAGAGTTGTTCCTTCGCCGCGTCTGATCCAAAGATTTCAAATTCAGCCTTCACGCACCTTTTCACGTACGCACATATCAGAGTTTAAAGTGGCATCATGCCAACTCCAGATTTAAGCTGACCAATAAGCAGCAGAGAGCTGCAATTTTGCAGAGTTGCTCGTCGCTCATTGTTGTATCCGCGAAAGTAGATTACTTCTCAGCTGTTTGCATCTTACTTATGAATAAGTGAACATTTCACGCACACGCTTTTGTAACTTCAGAACTGGACTAGCCAGTGGACCTGAACTTTCTGAGCATAATCGGCGGTGGCTTTCGACGAAAATGCACGCAAAGACGACTTACACATCACTTTCACATCCCACGTACGTTTCACGTGTACAGACGTGAAATTTGACGTAACTCCGCAATCAGAGCAGCTGGAGTGCTGAAACTTTCTGAGCTTTACCCAGGACCGTGTTTGAGCAACCTCAGGCAAGAAATCATTCACGTTCCACCTACGCATGAACGCGTGGAATTTAACGTAACTCCGCACCTGAAACACCCACAGCGCTGAATTTTTTGGGCGTGGATTGGGAGTCACTGTAAGAATTTCTAACAGTCGTAGTGGCCAGTCCCAATTCTTTTAGCTAGAAGCATCTGCCGGGAAGAACTTCCCAATGGCGAAAAAAAACCTGCGGGGGAACTGTGCAGCAGTCGGCACGCTTTCGACTAAGTTCCTTTTGCATCTGGGAAGAAGCCAGAGCACGGCCAGTATGAGTCCAGTTGTTAAACTAAAGCGCAGGAATCATTCCTGCTGTTAGTGACCTTCAACTTTAATGCAAAAATGCATGGTCGAACCGGCGATCCTAGTGCACTGTAGCCTGGGTTTCAATGAAAAGGAAATCTAACGATGGCAGGAGTGATTGTTTTTGAGCCTACTTGTTATTTTCACTACTGGCCATTATTGGTAATCTTTTTGTTGGTTTTCAGGATACTCGATGATTTTTCCGGGTCGTTTAACGCATCTTCATGAAGGTTTAGCAACTACACAAGGAACTCGTTATATCGCCGTCTCGTTCATTAATCCTTAGCCTGCAGACAAATTTCTGTTTAAGTGGTGCTGCTTTTTGTTTTTTTCTTCATCTGTTTTTTTTTAATTTGAAGCGGAAATGCTGAGTGGTGCTTTTGCTTTTGGAGGCGTACTGTAAAATTTTTGTCGTGTTGCTTGAGGCATCGGTATTCGTAAATAATTTTTGCTTAATTTGGCATCCATATACAGTCAATACACAAATAAGTTCCGTCACAGAAAAATTTTGAATGCATTCCCATCCAGCCAAGTAATATCGAAAATCAGTCATACAAGCAGCCGCTTGTGCAAGGTGGGGATAATTTTTTTGAGTGAGTATGTTTTTAACTAAAAGTCGAAATCCCTTTCAATTCATCTCTTTAGAGATGGAGGCATTCGAAACTGACTTAAATAGTATCAAGTGCCAACAGCAGTCATCAGCCAGCAGAAGCTGTCGAAAGTTCTTTCATCCTGAAGTTTTTGGAACCAGGCTGGGGGCAGGTTTAAATCCCAGCGTGCGAAATGAGCAAAGAAATCATAGATTGTCCTATTGATGGCGTCAAATCCTTGAACTCGGGCTTTTAATATTTTTCCTGATTTTTTTTCATATTCCGTTTTTGAGGGATTTCATTTTTCTAGTATATCATAGAACAAGTGCTACGGCCGCCCAATTTCAGTCTGATTTGAAAGAAACTAGACGAAGGGCTTCATGGAGGTATGAGTAGGCATGCTGCTGATGATACCATAAAATTTTTGATTTTGTCGTGAAACCTTTAATTCTCATGTTGTATTAAGCTTTAAACTTTACAAGGTGCTACGAAATGTGCATTAACTTTTAAAGTGTTTTCCTGAAGCTTTATTGCATTTGTTGTTAATTCTCGGTTTTTGAACTGCTTTTCTTCATTGCTTTGTTCTTATCTAATCTCAGTGAGCTAGGATTTTTAAATCTCTTCCATCTTGAAATACTTGGATTAGCTGTAATTCATATTCTTTTTCCCCAGTTACACAGTCGGCAGTTTCCCCGGTTGTTTTGACCAGTGCCGCATTTCCGGTTGGTCAACCTGCCGACGATCATCTTAAAATATGAAGAAAAAATACCTTAATTTTTGCATGTTTTTGAATTGAACACATTCTTCTCTTACTGGCATCATTAATTATCAATTTTCTTTCATAGATTTGTTTTTTTTTCCTTATATATCGATTCCTCAGCTCTGTGTTTGGCTCAAATCGTCTTTTTTTATTTGGTTCTGCTGATTTGCCCGTTTTTTACTCACATTCCGTGACTAAGCTAGGGCCTTTGTTCTTCTTTCAGATCACCGGAATCTTTGTTATCTTCCAGAATGAAAACACAGCTTCTCAGGATTAGTTTGCTTGTTAAAGCGTGCCAGTGAGCAGTAGCGAAACATTTTTTCCTTAGAACAGTATTAGCTCTCTGCCTCAAGTCACAAAAATTTTTATTTATTTTTTCCCTGGGTAAAAATCTTTGTGATATAGCAGATATTATTTTTCTATTTTAATGCTGTCATGTTTATATTAACGGTTGCTTTAATTACGATGCTCTTCAATGCTTTCGATAAATTTTTCTTCTCTTTTTCTCGAACGGATTTATGCGTTGCTGAACGGTGATGTAAGTCGCTTACAAGCGTATATAATTAGCATTAATAACGGTATGGGTTCTCGTAGGGAAGAATCTATGAATAGCTTTTGACCGGATCCTCGTCATGTGTGAAGGAGGTTTTAATTTTGTATATTTGGATGATTTGGCAAGCATTCAAAGTGTAGATGGTGGATGCTAACTGCGGGGGGGGGG